CAGCGCATCTGACCAGTTTTAAACAGTCATGCAGTTACAACTTCATTCCGTTGTCATCCTTGTGTGAAAGACCTGCTTGCCAATCACAAGTGCCATGTGCCTCCTGTAACTGTCCTTCTCACCAATCAGAGCGGGCACAGGGCGTGTACATTTTACAACAACAAACGAAACTAGAGGAAAATGTGGGTAACTGACGCAGTTTTGTCCGGCGTCAACTCACACTTAAGTGTTTCAGCAGTGGAGTGTTTAGCCTGAACGTTGTTGATTTGTTGTTAATTTGTCATTTTGTGTGCTTCAACTATGGATAACAGGTTCCTTTCCGCTCTCTGCAGGCTAACATTACATATCCACATGGAGCATTTCAGAATAAGAGCGTTTTTCCTGTCTGATTCTGCTGACTTGTTCAGATTTTGCTTATTTGTTCAGTTGTCCTGGATTTTTGTGCTTCTACCATGGTTAAGTAGGCTACATAGTTAAATTGTTTCTTTTTTTGTCTGTTTTAACTGTGTTTATTGTTGATGTACAATCGGGAGTCTGCAAAGAGGGTTTTATTTTGAAAATCGAGCGGATTCTCTATGCTTCCGTTAAAAATAGACTGGCAGTGAATAATGAACTTTAGCTAAATTTCAGTAAAAAAAGATTGCAAATCGAATCTTAATTGCAATATCTGGTAGAAAAATCGCAATTAGATTTCCCCCCAAATTGTTCAACCCTAGTATCGATCTTATTGAACTCTTGGGACAAAAACAAATAGGTATATTTCCCAAAATGTTAAGCTATTCCTTCAAGGCTCCATGAACAATAAACATTAGTACAACAGTACATTGTTCCTCCTACTCCTACCCTCCTACTTCCACCTACGATTGTTCTGTGGGGTAATATGGACACTACAGTCTGTAGGAGCCACTAATGAGGCTTTAGTCTGGTTTATTGTCAGCCTACTTATTATATTTCAGTTTCTCTCTTCCTCAACCATCATGTAAGAGGCTTCATATGGCCATTTGATGTCCCTACCTAGTCATTATATATCTCCCCCAGGATGTCAGACACAAACTCTGGGTTTCGTCTGGCACATAAAGGAGCACAATAATTGTTGTTCAAACTTTAAGACAGACTGTCCTTCTCCATTAGGGGACTGCTTACTCTGTTCATTTCATTTCAACCCCGACATAAATGCACTATCCCCAATTAACCTTTCTCACTGCTCCTCTCTGTTCTGGTGATCCATTATTGTTTCCTCTACACTAAAGTAAAAGGCCAAAGCAGGCTGAATCCAGGGGAGAACAACAGAGTCACAGGTCCTGGTTTGGAAAGTGCCTTCATCGACTGTGAGCTCATGCCTCCATTAGGATGTTATTAAAGTCAGCTGCATACACCTACAGCACCACTTGTTCCCTGATTACAATAAATGGTCCAAGCTATTTGGAGTCTGGCTTTTTGTTAAAAGAAACACAGGTTGGATATGGGAAACGAACAGCAGGCAATTTACAGTTATTATCTTCTTAATATGATTATTCAGATCAACCACTTCTATTGGATGATTTCCTCTCAATTTACTCTAATGGATGTAGAAGCCTCCTGTGTCCCTGCCTTTCTATTTCTCTTCTGAGCACTTTAAAATTTCATGATTGCTTTAAGGTCAGGTAAGGATAATATGAATAGCACTAGAGTCCTGACCTTTGACCTTAGTCAGTTTGGATGCTTTAAACTGTGGTGATGTTTATTTCCCTGTTGTACTAAGGTATCAACTGAATGCCTAAATTGTAAACTGTACAGGAAATGCACACGAAAGCAGTATGCAGGACTTGCTGTGAGCCAGCGCCACCTGCTGGAATACAGAGAACGTCTTTCTAGCAGTGATGGTTGAGCTCACTCATTACTGGTCCAATAGTGAAATGCTCATTTTCAGCATATTTTGCAAAAGCAATTTAACATATGTAGGGACTGGCTCTTACATGTAAGTAGAAAGTAACTGCATACATTTTCTAACTTAGAGTACCAAGTACAATTTTAAGGTACTTTTGTATGCTACTTTATACTTTTACTCCACAACATTTCTAGGGGAAATACTCATTTATTTTACATACAAACATGTGATAAGCTAATAAAAAACAGTATCTTCTTAGGGTCTCTTTTCATATTTCTGATGTTAGCAATTCCACTAAAGAGGCATTTAAATGGTTCCATTTAAATAACTTTTCAAGGCACAGAAAGGTCAAATTAGCCAATATTTCACAAAACAGCAAAGATAGGAGAAAAGTAGGACATACTAGCTGTGTTTCCATCAGCGTTTCTTTATGTGTATTTTGAAGTATTGCATTAGAAAAGGTTGATGGAAAAAAAAATCGTTAATTTCACAAAAAAGTTTTTACACTGGCTTGAGATGGTTTTTGCCTTTGTCGAAAAAGAGTTAATGTACTAAATGGGATATGGGAAGATTTTTTGCCGAATACGTTCTGACGCAGTGAACATGTAATTCACGTCTGATCAGCTGTTTCCGCTGCCAGCGTCTTGCCAGATATTCCCATAACACGCAGATACATGACTGGTCGCATTTTGCCCGCTTGAAACACATTCCTGAGGACCTCTCTCCATTTGTCTAAGATCAGTGCTACTCAAGTCCATGCGGTGGTTTTGTTTCTGGTCTGGAACCCATACGTCTTGTTTATTACAGCCATGTGTAACGTCAACTACCAACGTAACTACGCTCGCCTAGCTTGGTTTATTTGCTCCAAACCAGCTGATGGAAACCTATTTCGCATTTACTTTTTTTTTTTTTGCGACATTTCAAAAGTCCGCTTAAAATTGACATGACAATTAGATGGAAACATAGCTTCTTTCCCGCCTGATTAGTCATCTCACAACCCCTCAAATTTATCTTGTGGCCCTTTGAGAGGCCCTGAACCCTAGATCGGGAACCACTAACATTTATTTTACTAACTTTTACTAACTTATTTTTACCTTGTGGTATTGGTGCTTTCCCTCAGATGGTGCATTTCTTAGATAGATCCAGTCCCCATTGGGGCTGAAGCCAAGATTTTTAGAAATGATGAGGTCAGTCATCAGTCCAAATTCCCCCAGTGCAACCCCACTGCCCAAACAAAGTTCTGACCAGTCACCAAACATGTCTGTAAAATGTTCTTTTTACATTTTATTTAATTTAAATAACATATTCTCTGTAATATTCTACTCCCCACACAATGGCACAAAGGCTTTTCCATTTGTGTCATTAAAGCCCCCACAAAACAATACCAAGGACACGTTTTTTGTTTGCTAATTTTAATGTTGTGGTAGTTAAAGTGTTCCAGTTCTTGAAATGCCACTTTAATTCTTTTGATAACCTCATAGCCAAAAGCTCTCACTTTGACTTTAAATAGTCTGTGGACCAAGACTAAGAAAGAAATTATGACTTCTACATAGACTTGAACTTAGTAGTAGTAGTAATTTGGAAAAACAGAAATGAGTGCTGTTATAAAAAGCTACAAACAATTAATCCATGAATCAATTAGCTAATCAAATATTTTCCATTTTGATAATCAAGAAATAATTTGAGTAATTTTTCAAGATAAAATAACTGTTTAAGCTTCTCCAATGTGACGACTTGGTGTGGGGTGTGGTTGGCCAGAGCAAGACATTTGAAAATGTCCCCTTTGGCTTCAAGACATTGTAATTGGCATTTTTCACTATTAACTTTTATAACATGTGATTTATTTGACTATTTTATAGACCAAAGAATGAATCTAGTAATCCAGAAATCCAGAATAGAATTTAAAATCATTCTTCTTACCTACAAAGCTCTTAATGGTCAGGCACCATCTTATCTTAAAGAGCTCATAGTACCTTACTACCCCACCAGAGCACTGCGCTCCCAGAATGCAGGGTTACTTGTGGTTCCTAGAGTCTCCAAAAGTAGACTAGGAGCCAGAGCTTTCAGCTATCAAGCTCCTCTCATGTGGAACCAGGTTCCAGTTTGGGTTCAGGAGGCAGACACCATCTCCACATTTAAGAGTAGGCTTAAGACTTTCCTCTTTGATAAAGCTTATAGTTAGGGCTGGCTCAGGTGAGTCCTGAACCATCCCTTAGTTATGTTGCTATAGGCCTAGACTGCCGGGGGATTTCCCACTATGCACTGAGCTCCTCTCTCCTCTACTTTCTCTCCCTCTGTATGCAACCTCATCCCATTATTGCACGTTACTAACACAACTTCTCCCCTTTCAGGTAGTCTTGTGCTTTCTCGTCCCTCTCCTCTCTCCTCCTATCACTTCCTGCAGGTTTTCTGGCTCTGGAGCTGTGGAGTCTGGATCTGTGGTTGCGGGTCACCTGCTGCCCCCGTGTTCCTGCTCGACACCCTCTGCTGCAACGACTATTGTTGCTAGTCTTATTGTTATTATAATCATTAACATTACGACTGTTACCATTAACACTACTATAAATATCTGTACCATTTTTCATTTAGTCTATAGCAACATCACCTTTACTGTCTGTACCTCTGTGTGTATATTGTGTAGGCTGCCTCCCTCCCCTCTCTCTCTCCTTACATCCCTCTCTTTTTCTCTCTGTTCCTCTCCTGCCCTCTCTCTCTCTCGCTCTCTCTCCCTCTCTCTCCTTCACCCCAACCGGTGGAGGCAGATGGCCGCCCACCCTGAGCCATGGTTCTGCTCGAGGTTTCTGCCTCTTAAAAGGAAGTTCTTCCTTGCCTCTGTCTCCTAGTGCTGCTCTTGGTGGGAATTGTTGGGCTTCTGTAAATAACATCACAGAGTACGGTCTAGACCTGCTCTTTTATGAAAAGCGCTGTGAGATAACTGTTGTTGTGATTTGGTGCTATATAAATAAAATTGAATTGAATTGAATTAATCAAGACTGTAACTGATAGATTGACTGAAGTCTGATCAGTTGGCCACTGAGCGGCTCAATGGCACCTGAAAGACTGTACATTTGACATTTTTTAAGTAAAAAAAAAAATACCCAACAACTCCACCAAATTAAAAACACTACAAGTATTTAGTGCTTTTCTCAGATTTTTTTTTAAGTAGTAGTTGAAATATTGTATTTATTCCTTTAAAATCAGTTCATAAGAACTTCGTCCAAACAACCAGTAGTAGTACTGATCAATTCTACTGAAAGATATTCACTCAGTGACACTCAAGGCTGCTCAGATGCTGGCAAGACACAATGAGGCGTTGGTGCCACCAAATCCAAATGAGTTTGTGAGGGCCACCCGTCGGCCCTGGGCCCTCCACGGCTGTGCTGAGCAAGGAACATAATTCAGGTCGAACTCTGGCTCAGTGCGGTCCAGGTTGAGGGTTGGGGGCAGGACCCTGTGGTAGCAGGCCAAAGCAGTGAACGCTACCTCCAGGGCCCCTGCAGCCCCGAGTAGATGTCCGGTGGCTCCCTTGGTGGAGGAAACAGCTAGGCTCTCGACACTTTGGTGGAAGAGCCTCTTGATCGCAGCATTTTCAGCGGCATCCCCCAAAGGCGTGGATGTGGCGTGAGCGTTCACATATGTCACATCTGCTGGTGAGACGCCAGCATCTCTGAGGGCCGCAGACATGCATCTGTAAAGACAGGGGTTGCACAATTAAAGGATAATTCCGGTTTATTACAGCTTTGATCTTACTATAGCTGTTTTGGCTCATTGTTTTTTTATACAAAAACATGGTTGTACTCCCAGATCTCAGCAGTTACTGAGATTGTTACATTGTTACAACAAACACCAATGGAACAAGAAACAGATGATTATAGAGGTTGTAGGTCACAAGTTTTACACAGTTTTATTTGAATATTGTTTTTAGAAGGCCTTAAGAGGCAACATGATCTGACCAAGCCAATCATTTTCTGACATGCATTAAGGGTTGTTCTTTTTGACAGTTTCTTGGTTTTTTTGCTCATTTAAAAACATTTATTGGTGTCCACTAAAATACACATCTGTATTTTTGTATAATGTTAAAATAAATAAGAAAAAAATATTGGAGGAAAGTGGGAAAAAAACATCATGTGTGCAGCAGAGATGTGTTTTTGTCTTTTTTCCTATACTGTTCATCATCTTATAACCCCTCTGAACTATCAACAACCCCAATTCCCAGGTTGGAAACCACTGATTAAAAAAGTGACAGCAGTTTTGTGGAGTAAATTATGGCATTTTTGTCGTCATCTGAAAATTTTAATGTAAGGGGAAAAGTTGTCTCTCGCATGCTAAAAAAAAAAGTATCTGCTTCTAAGAGAACCCTCAAATGAGTCACCTGAACGCTCCATCTCCGTCTGCAGTGGGTGCAGTGATGTGGCTGGCGTCCCCTGAGAGTCCATAGCCCAGGACCTCTGCATAGATCCTCGCTCCTCTTTTCACTGCATGGTTCAGCTCCTCCAGAAGGAGCACCGCTGCTCCTTCGCCCATCACAAAGCCCTCTCTCTCTGGGTGAAAGGGTCTTGACGCCTGCGTTGGGTTGTCATTCCATTTGGTGGCGAGGGCGCGTGCCCTGGCAAAGCCGGCTACTGCCAGGGGCCCCACACAGGCTTCCGTTCCCCCTGTAACCATAGCAACTGCATCCCCGTGGGCAATGAACCTGGCGGCATCGCCTACAGCGTGTGCACCCGTGGTGCATGCTGTAGACACAGCATGGTTAGGACCCTTCAATTTGTGTTTGATACTTATGTGCCCAGCAGCCATGTTGACAAGGATGCGAGGCACAAAGAAGGGACTGACTTTGTTGTAACCCTTTTCGTGGAAGGCAATGGAGGTGCGAGCAATTTCCTCCAGTGACACCATGCCCATGCCAACAGCCACCCCAGTCTTAAACTGTTCCTCTGCAGTTTTGGGGTACCACCCTGAGTCCTCCAGAGCCAGCTGAGCAGCTCCGAGGGCCATTACAGTGGCTGATGACATGCTGTTAATCTCCCCTCGAGAGGCAAAACTCTCCTCCTTAAAGTGACCTTGTTCATTTCCTCGGGGTACCAGTGCTGCCACTTTACATGGAACAGTCTTATAGTCCTCTGAGTCAAGAGCAACAATCCCACTGTGGCCTTTAATCAGGCGGTCCCAGGGTAGTGCACTCCCTGTTCCCAGAGGACACACTAACCCTATGCCAGTAATAACAACCCTCCTTTTGAGCTGTCCAGAGCTGTGGTGTCTGGAGTCTTGGTTTGGACAAACACATACTGTCTTTTGAAGAAGTGCCCTTATGTTCTGTGTTCTCAGCTGGAGTTTAGTCCAACAGTATAGTGACAAAGCGGACATCCTGTTATCTCTGTCAAGTTTGACACAGCTAGCTTGTAGCTTTCGTGAACCCCTCTTAATATAAGAGAAATAAATTCCCCAAACCAAAGGGGAAAGGTCCTCCAGATGCCACTGAACTTAAGTCTGTAACGTACCCGGCCGAGAACTTCTTCAGATAACTGTCAATTGAGAAAACTTGTCCTTAAACGAGAAGTCCATTCCTGCATCTATGAAGCTATTTTTAGGTCGCATTTTTGAACGCCAGATTCGTTTTACAAGTAAATATTCAATTTAAAGATGTAATAAAGCAGATGGAGCAGGTAAACATATAATTGCGCTTTATGAAACACCACTATGGCAAAATACAATTATAAACAATATATTTTTTATGCTGCAAACACATATTCAGGCGCTTTCGGTCAGCTACATCGAGGACCCAAAACGAGTAATAGCCAAATGCGTGCATTTGCTAGCATACTCAAGACATTTAGCTCGTCACGTTACAAGCAAAAAAGCAGTATGGCTGTGTCACCGGCAGTGACAACATTGTTTGAGAATTCAAATGAAGTATTTCTTGACGCCGCCAAGTTGTTACTTACATACGCGGACAACATTTTAAGGTAAGGCTGTGAACTTAACAACGCAGTACGTTACACAGCGGTGTTATTGGGATGTGATGTGTTAGCTAACGTTAAGCTGCGGTTGTATTAGAAATGGTTACGTTTCAAATAAATCCAACAGTTGCTAACATCGTGCCGTCGGGGTGAAGCTAACCTCGCTTTACTTGAGCCCCGATATAACGTTATCCGGTTGTTATTTATACACAGCTTTTTTTTATTTGTTTTTGCGTGTTGGAACACCTTGACATAACTTTAGTTTTAGTCGCCAGGGTGTTTTTTAATTACTTACCAGGAAGCAGTTTTAAATGGCTAACTTTACAAGCTCTATGTTCACTTATCTCTCCTAACATTGCCTCTAAAATACGCTGTGGAGTGAAGCAGATGTCTCAATTGAAAGTTGTCACATTTGTTTTTGAGTAACGTTAACGTGTACATATTAACGGCCACTTTTGTGGAAAGCAGGTGTCAGTAAACTTCCAGATCATTGCCACATCTGAAAGTGACAATAAACAAGTTGAAGTTAGTTATCTAATGATACCCATGTATTATGTGTCTGTATATTTCTTTTTTATGAACACATAACTCGGTGTACTGTACTTGTTTGAACATAATGCTCTGAAAGGCCTCGAGAAAAGCTCTAACGTTACTTCCTCATATGATGTCACCTCCAAACAGGTATCCCAATGAGGAAAAATACAGATCAATCCGCATAGGCAATCCTACTTTCTCTACAAAGCTGTTGCCAATCAAAGGTGCTGTGGAATGTCTCTTTGAGATGGGATTTGAGGAGGTAATTAATAACTAACTTCCAGGTGGCTACTGTGGTAAATTAAAGCCAGTATTAAGTTGCTTCATTGCCTATGGTTTATTTGATCATCTGTCATTGGCCTGACTGTAAGTAAACATTTAATCTCTTGCACCTGTTTTCAGGCTGAGACCCACCTTGTGTTCCCCAAGTCTGCATCTGTGAAACAGCTTAAGCTCATCAGGGAATCCATATCGGCAGAGAGGGATCGGAGACTGTGTGGAGGACAGCCTTTCCAACCCACCACTCAGACTGCTGCCTCAGCCTCAGCCTTAGCTTCAGCACCGGAGAACACTACTGCTGCCTCCAGCCAGCAAGTTACACAGCCATCATCCTTGGTAAAGATGCGTCCATCCCAAGTTTAAATGGCAGAAATTGTGATTGAACATATCTGTATTTAGCTGTAATGTCTAAAGACACCTCAGCACACTAAGAGTATGTCAAAGGGATGATTGCAAGATAAGAAGTAGTTACAATGAGCTATGAGTGAAATTCAGTTCAGACTTATTTTGTCATTAGGGACTGTAGGAAAATTTATAAGGATGGGAGGTGGCGTCAGTAATTTATATTTTTCTCATCGCAGATTTATTTTGGCCCTTGTCAGATTAATAAAATTAGCATGTAATTGTTGCAGATAATAGCCTTACTGGGTGCAGTATGTTATAGGGGTGGTGATGGTGCAGTGGATAAGACACCTGGGTTTCAATCCACTGTGAGACACCATTGTGTCCCTGAGCAAGACAATTAACCCGTAGTTGCTCCAGAGGCGTGCGACCTCTCTGACTGCGACTCCGACTGAAATGATCAATCAATCATCGAGTTTCTGATAAATTTTCTGTTGATCAGCTTATCAATTGACCCACTAATAACTTCATCTCTAATGTGAGCTAGTCGCTGATAGGACCACTGAGTATCTTAATTATGCGTTTGATTTGGTTATGACACCTAATCTTAAACCTGCTTGTACAGGCTAAAGCATCACCTGATCTGATCCATATTTATTCTGCTGTCAGTGCACAGTTTACTCAATCAGCGGCAGTCACTGTCCATAAATTGACAACTGTTTTTTACTGATTATCTGATTTGTTTGTTATGCCAATTGTCATCAATTCTAAAATTGCTAATTCCACTGCAATTAAGGGTTTTAAATTAGGGTACTACATCTCGATTCTTAATGCTTTGCCTTTCTGTGGCATTAATACTGTTTTTAAGTTAACTATTTTAAGATATCAAGGGGGAGGGTGTTTAAGGTTTATTTCCAAGACAAGTGGTGGGAGCAGAGAAAATATAAATAACGCTAGCAAGGGCCATGTTTATATTTTAAATGTTAAGGGGTACTATGACACCGGTTTCCCCAGGTCATGGTAGTGTAAATTGCTGAGCTAAAGTAAACTGAAGTTGACTCTGCCTGCGCCTTTCAGTAGGTCAGACACTCCCTCCTCACTGCCTGCTTGGTTGACTGCCTGACGCAGCTGTCTTGATAAGGATGTACTGTTATCTTTTCGCTAGGTAACCCAATGCTGAGATTTTCTTTATTTTGTTTCATTATAGACAGACTGACTGGCTCTATGTAGAGACACAAGTGTTGCATGTGACTTGAATGACACACAATGTGTCTTAAACATAACTTAAGTGCATCTCTGTATGTCTAGGAAGGATAAATATCCCCAGATAGGAAGTAATCTATAGATCTGGTGTTGGCATTGCATGTTCACACTTGGATGGTGACTCTGTATACCCTTTGACTGGGTTCATTAAACAAATGCTGTGTAAGTATTCATCAGTCGCCAAAACTTCTTCATCACTCGTGAAATTAACTCTGTCTCTATATTTCATTATTCTTGGTTTGTTTGCAATCCGGATGTTTTCTTGTCTTTCTTCCAGGAGAACAGTATGAGTTTCTTTGTGACTCTCCAGTCAAACTTTCAACATGTTATGCTGTATGAAAATCTTGAGCTGCAGCAGAAAGCTAGGAGCTGCATCCCTCACCAGCAGATGTCCTCTGCTGCTGAACACAAGCTGAAGGAGGTGAAAGAGGCTGATCCAGGTGCAGTCCCCTCACTTACTCAAAAGAATTGGTTGTGTATCTGGATTATGCTCCATGCAAGTAAAGATATGCGTGTTCCTTTAAACCGTGATTCATAGGGACCAACTGACAAGCTTTCCTGTGTGCAGAATGTAAACTTGGAATAGAGGACTTCCTGGTGCTGGAGTTGCTCAGATGGTTCAAACAGGACTTTTTCTCCTGGGTGGACTGTCTGCCCTGCAGCAGCTGCGGAGGCCCCACCCAAAACGCCAGCTCCCTCAGTCCAACCACCGATGACCTCCGCTGGGGAGCCCAGCGAGTAGAGAACCACTACTGTCAGAGCTGCTCGCTCCCTACCAGATTCCCCAGGTCTGTATGTGTCTTTGTGTGACATTTTAGTTTAGTTGTTACTACTGCAACGAGGAAGTCTAGGACCAGTGTTTGAGGTAGGATTAAAATTAGGATTAAGTTGCAGAACAAGTGAGGCAAGTTGGGGCGGCAACAGCTCAGTCTGTGGGGACTTGGCTTGGGAACCGGAGGGTCGCTGGTTCAAGTCCAGCGCTGACCACTGCTGAAGGTGTCCTTGAGCAAGGCCCTGAACCCCTGACCCCCTAACCTAATTAGGATGGGTTAAATGCAGAGAATGAATTTTGCTTCCGTGGTTCTGTGTATAACTGTTTGTGACAAATAAAGCTGATTATGTTATTGATTATAAAAGTTAGGCAGTGATATGCATCTTGCTTGTAGGAAGTTATAAATTATTACTCATATGGAGTAGAGTGCTTTCATTGATGAACATTTTGCTTTTATGTTTTCTTTGTATTATTAAACCAGATATAACAGTCCTGAGAAGCTGCTTGAAACCAGGAGGGGACGCTGTGGGGAGTGGGCTAACTGTTTCACACTGTGCTGCAGAGCCCTGGGCCTGGAGGCCAGATATGTCTGGGACAGCACAGGTATGTACATGACTAACAGATGTGGCTCTTACTTGACTAATTTGACTCTCTGTTCTGCAGTTTACTTACACACCTGTGCGTGTGACATATTAGGAGGACAAACTGTCTCTGCTCAAGGTCCACTTAATAGCTTTAATCAATTAATTGTTTTGAGTCAATTCAATTCAGCTTTATTGGCATGAATGGGGAGATAGCAGGTTAGTATATATCACATAGAAGTGGAATACATTGTATACATCTGTGAGCTGGCAACCTGAAGAGAACAGCTCAGCACTGTCAAGGTTTTGTAGTCAGAAATCTGCAAACATTACTGTGGTTTGGTCGGGTGCCAAATCAAAGTTTGAAAGTTTAGAGTGCCTAGAACATTATGACTGAACTACATGATGGCCATTCCCATGCTCTATTATGTCTCATAAGTTGTTGCAGCATTTGTGTCACAGATTCTTGACTAATCAGAAATTGATAAAAATGGTCAAAAAATATCTTCACTCTAGCTATAAAAGTGAATCTGCTACAGCGTCTGAAAGACAGTAATGTTGGTCGGGCGTAGCCATCCTTGTGGAGTTAGGAGAACAGATATCACAGCAGAGATTGGTTATAGAGTGGGGTGAGAGAACTGTATTGTTGGCCTGCAGTGAAACCTGCCTCACGTTGCCTGAAAGAGGTGCTGTTTAAAACAAAAACACTTCAGTGAAGAGTTTTAGTTGTATTCTTTAGTGATTCTTGACCTAGTCCCAAGGTCAAGAATGAACTTGCATGCTCAAATGTTTGCGTTTGTGATGGTCTACATGTGGTTTTACGTTTCCACCCTCTGCCTTCAAAATTAGAATTGTTTTCTGAAACACTGAACCAATTTTAAATACTCTGCCATTAAAATAGTACCAATATAAGGTATTGAATACTAATTATATTGGTATGTAATAGTTACACATGTATATTAGGAACATGTCGTCATATTACAAATATCACAAAATGTTGTACTTTCTTATTTGGGCTGATGTCAGAATAATTCATAT